CCGCGGGAAGATGAATAAAGGCTGGCTGGAGCTGGAGAGCGACCCCGGTAAGGACGGGGCCCGGGTGGGCCCGGGGGCAAGAGCCTGTCCGTGGGAACGCGCCGGCCTGATCCCCCCTCCATCCCTTGTCGCCCCCACCCAGGCCTCTTCACCCTGCTGGTGGAAGATTTTGGTAAGTAAGCCCTTCCCTCGCCCTCCGGACTCGCACGGACGGCGCCCATCCCTGCGCCCCCGGGGCCAAAGGCCACCCAGCCCGACCGCTTTCCTTGCCTATTCGCAGGTGTCAAAGGGGTGCAGGTCGAGGAAATCTATGACCTTCAGAGCAAATGCCAGGGGTGAGTGCCTGGTGGCTGGGAGGGCCGGGGCAGAGGCTCCTCACGGGGGGCCTGGGTTTCAGGAGCTCCCGTGGCTCTGGGTACCCTCTTAATGCCCAAGCGGATAGTTTCATTTTCTCCCAGGATGCACTGCTCTGTCTGAGCCTCCCTCACCCACATCCCAGCTGTCCTCCGCAGGTTGGGTGCAGTGTCCTGCCGGGACGTTGTGTTAGGAAACCCAGAGAGTGCCCTCGGTGCTGCTGCAACTAGCCAATGGGCCTCAGCTTGCATGCTCCCTGTGCCCCCGCCCCCCCACGGCCCTGTGTTGATTGGCTGGCATGTGGAGATTGACAAGGCATCTTCTGGGCGGGCCCCTCCCCCCTCTGGGACTTGTCCAGGTGATCCCACAGACCGGCCTGCTCACACAATAGACCTAGAAGTAGGCCTTTATTTCCTGGGAAGGGCGGGTCTGGTGTGTGTGCCTCACTTGCTCCTCCGTGTTGGGTCCTAGCCCTGGGGGGTGGGGGCACACGTGTGAATTAGCGTTTAAATTCCTCCCCAGTGAGCTTCTGTTCTCCCCTGACCTGTGCCCTGGCCATAGCTCCCAGCATTGGTCTGCTATCCAGCAACCCCTGTCTTGTGTGAGGGGCCTCGGCAGGCCCCACACCAGATGTGAATCCTGTGGCCCTGCCTGTGACAGCCTCTTAGAGGACCTAGTGTTGGGAGCGGGGTGGGATCCGAGCAGCGGCACCTGATGCAGACAAACAGGTGGACAGAAAGGGCTGTTGCTTGCCCCTCCACCCCTGCCCCCCATCATAACTCCTGCCTCTCACTTCCCTAGCCCTGTGTATGGGTTCATCTTCCTGTTCAAATGGATCGAGGAGCGCCGGTCCCGCCGCAAGGTCTCGACTTTGGTGGATGACACGTCAGTGATCGATGATGACATTGTGAATAACATGTTCTTTGCGCACCAGGTCTGCTGGGCTCTGTGCCCTGCGCTCTGGTGGAGGGTGGGGTGTTGCCGTTTTCTGTGCTGGGAAAAAGGACACCTAGAGACCTTTGGGGTGGTTGCAGTAGCCCCTGGGCAGAAGGTGCTGAGCTCCTGTAGCTGTTGGAGCGCGCGCGTGTGTGTGTGTGTGTGTGTGTGTGTGTGTCGGGCACCTGGTTGGTCTGTAGCTGGAGCCTGTTGTGTGAGTAGCTATGGGGCCAACATGGAAGGAACTGATGGGGCCGTAATGCAGAGAGGGCGTCTCTCTGCGCCCTCGCTCCCCAGGAGAGAACCTGGGCAGAGAGCTGCTCTTTGGTTTCACAGCTGATCCCCAACTCGTGTGCTACCCATGCCCTGCTGAGTGTGCTCCTGAACTGCAGCAGCGTGGACCTGGGCCCCACTCTGAGTCGGATGAAGGACTTCACCAAAGGCTTCAGCCCCGAGGTAGGCTTGGAACCGGGCCCGGGCAGGCACAGCCACCGCCAGGGCTGCTGGTAATGCTGCACCACCCGGCATCCACCCTGCTTTGTGCTGCACTTGACTTTAAAATAGTAGCTAGTGTAAGACAGTCAATTTTAAACCAGAGAAGCCTCAGACCTAGAGAGGGACGGGACTCTGCAGATGACATCATGTTAGGCCCCAGTGTGGGCTGTTCTCTGCGAGTGAGGCCAAGTTGCTCCCTGGTCATTGCACAATGACCAGGTCAAGCCGAAAAAGCCCACCTCTTTGGGGCTTCAGAACACTCTTCGGCCCCCACCCTGCCCTTACTCGTCAACGTCAGAGTGCTGGAGCTTCATCCAGGCGTGCTATCTGGAACTAGGCCCCCATCCAGGGCCCCGCCTGCAGTATTGTGATGCGGCCCTGTTTTCTTCCCTCTAGAGCAAAGGATATGCAATTGGCAATGCCCCAGAGCTGGCCAAGGCACATAACAGCCATGCCAGGTATGTGGGGCTGTGGCTGGGGGCGCTGGCAGGGCAGCCCCCTCGTGGCTTTGACCACGTCTTCTCTCCAGGCCAGAGCCTCGCCACCTTCCGGAGAAGCAGAACGGCCTCAGCGCCGTGCGCACCATGGAGGCGTTTCACTTTGTCAGCTACGTGCCCGTCACAGGCCGGCTCTTTGAGCTGGATGGACTGAAGGTCTACCCCATTGACCATGGTAGGTGCCCTGCAGCGGGACCTGCTGGGCTCCCTGCTTTCTTCTGGGGGACAGTGGAGCAGCACTGAGGACCTCTGGCTCTACCACCTGCCCGGCCCCTGACTCCTTGGCTTAGTGGCTGTTCTCCACCCTCCTTCCCACAGCTGGCCTGCCCTGCTTGGGGTTGTCCACCTGTCAACTCCATGGCCTGCTCTTCCTTAGGGCCCTGGGGAGAGGATGAGGAGTGGACAGACAAGGCCCGGCGGGTCATCATGGAGCGGATTGGCCTGGCCACTGCAGGGTAAGGGCCTCCTGCACCTCTGGGGCTGTGGCCCCTTGGAAAGGACTGTGACAGAGGGGTTAGGTGATTGCTGGACCTCATGGTGAATCTGGCTAGATCAGGTTTAGACTTGGGGGTCCCCCTTGCCCTGACTCCGCAGAGCTGCCTGTGGCTTGCTGCCCAAGAGCCTAGGGGAGGGCAGGCCTTAGGGGCACCTGGGAGTTGCCAGGCTGCTGGCTCCCTTCATTGGGCTTGGGCTGCACAGCCTGCCTCTCCAGCTGCTGGAGTGGGCTCTGGACATATGTGGGACTGGTGGGACTGCAGAGGGCCTTGCCCAGCTCTCCGTTCCCTGGACGGGGGACTGCTCTCACAACCGTGGCTCTGGCCGTGACTACAGGGAACCCTACCATGACATCCGCTTCAACCTGATGGCGGTGGTGCCCGACCGCAGGGTCAAGTACGAGGCCCGCCTGCATGTGCTGAAGGTGAACCGCCAGACGGTGCTGGAGGCCCTGCAGCAGGTGGGTGCCCTCTTGCCAGGCCCCTCTGCCCAGTGAACGAGGTCCCATAGGCTCCCTTGGGGGAAAGTGGGGAGAAAAGCTGCTGGAGTCACAACCCCTTTGGGGGTCAAACAACCCTTGCACAGGGGGCCCCCGATTCATCACAGTACCAAAATGACAGTGATGAAGAAGCAACGAGAATAATTTTATGGCTGGGGGTCACCACAACATGAACTGTGTTAAAGGATCATGGCATGAGGAAGTTCGGGAACCACTGGTCTAGGAGTTTGAGTCTGGCTATTTTCTGCTGCTGCGAGTGAGGGGGGAGAGCCAAAGCCATTTTGCTGCCCCCCCCCCCCAAGGACTGAACTGCCCCAGGAAGAAGCCTGGGTGGGCCCTCACTCCCCGCTCAGCCTAGGTCTCTGTTGGCAGCTGATCAGGGTAACACAGCCGGAGCTGATTCAGACCCACAAGTCTCAAGAGACTCCGCTGCCTGAGGACCCCAAGCCGGCCAGTGGCAAGTCCCCCCCGGCGCTGGAGGCCAGCAGGACCCCGGTGGCCCCCGAGGGGACCCACCCAGGTACGAGCAGAAGCCTCTGGATGTCCTTCGGGCATGGGGGCAGCTTGGGGCCATGGCTCAGTGCCTCGCAGTGGAGTAGGCTTCCCCTGAAGGCCAGCTCTGTGCCGGCTGCTGTCACCCAAGGCCCCGGCCTCTGTGAGGTGTGCTCACTCTCCTGCTGTGGGCCTCTGTCTCTCCGTCTCTCCTCCCCATCTCTATGGTGGCCCGTGACTTAGGGGTTGCTGACTCCAGGCCCAGGGCGGTGGGGGCAGGACCTGGGAGCTGGTGGGCTGGGCTGGGCAGCTTCCTTGAGGACTGCCCTGCAGGCTTGCCCGTGCCTGTTGCCCTGCCTCAGACGGTGCTGGTGAGGTGGCTGCTCCGGGCGCCCCAGCCCCGACCCACAGCCCGCCCAGCAAACCCAAGCTGGTGGTGAAGCCCCCAGGGAGCAGCGTCAACGGGGGTCCCCCCAACCCCGCCCCCATTGTACAGCGTCTGCCAGCCTTTCTGGACAATCACAACTACGCCAAGTCCCCCATGCAGGTGAGGCCCACCAGTGGCCAGGCTGGGGGAGGCAGACTGACGGAGGCTCATGCTGGGGTACCCTCAGGAGGGGTTGAGGGGGGCAGAGGGGCAGGCGCCTAGGGTTGCATGGACCATTCGGGGGCGTTCAGCAGACAGCCTGACCGCCCCGCTCGTGGCTGGCTGCGTCTGTGCTGCAGGAAGAGGAAGACCTGGCCGCAGGCGTGGGCCGCAGCCGAGTCCCCGTGCGCCCACCACAGCAGGACTCGGACGACGAGGATGAAGACGAGGAGGAGGAGGAGGACGACGACACACAGAACAGCAACCCCGCCATCCGGTCAGCCCAGCGCTGGGTGCCCGGGGAGGCTGGCCTGGGAGGGCTTAGCCTTGCAGGAGGGGTGTGGCGGGAGTACAGCTGGTCAGGAGGACCTGCAGGGAGGGGCTGGCAAGGGCTGTACTCTGGAGAGCCTAGGGTGTCAGGCCGCCCCTTCATGGACAGGGTGCGGTGTGTGGAGGAGGCCGTTCTGGGCACTGTTGACTGGGGCCCCCTGGCTGATGCCCTTGGCTCACTTCCCCTTGGGCCCCACAGGTACAAGCGGAAGGGGCCCGGGAAGCCAGGGCCCCCAAGCAGTGCCGCCGACGGGCAGCTGTCAGTGCTGCAGCCCAACACCCTGGAGGTCCTGACGGAGAAGCTCCGGGAGTCCCAGAAAGACCTCTCGCTGCCTCTGTCCGTCAGGACGAGCAGCGGGGCTGGGAGCCCAGCGGTGGCCGTGCCCGCCCACTCGCAGCCCTCACCCACACCCAGCAACGAGAGCACCGACACAGCCTCGGAGATCGGCAGCGCCTTCAACTCGCCGCTGCGCTCGCCCATCCGCTCAGCCAACCCCACTCGGCCCTCCAGCCCCGTCACCTCCCACATCTCCAAGGTGCTCTTCGGCGAAGACGACAGCCTGCTGCGGGTCGACTGTCTGCGCTACAACCGCGCCGTGCGCGACCTGGGGCCCGCTGTCAGCACGGGCCTGCTGCACCTGGCTGACGACGGGGTGCTCAGCCCCCTGGCACTCACAGGTGGGTCTCAGCCGGGCCAAGTCTTGCAGGGAGCTGGGAGGGGGGGGCGGGGGGGCGCCCGCCTGCCTGCATCCTGCCCTCATGGGACTGTGGGGCCGCCCTCTCCATGCAGATGGTGGCAAGGGCTCCTCGCCCTCCCTCAGAGCGGGCCACAGCCACCAGGGGTCCAGCAGCCCAGAGAAGGAGGCAGCGGCGGACGCAGCAGACGGCCGGGAGAAGATAGGGCTGGGGAGGCCCGGGGAGGCCATCAGCGGGGAGAAGTACTCGCCCAAGGTGAGCCTGGTCGTTCTCTCTCGGAGCTCTCGGGCAGGGCCTGGGGCATTGCTGCCCAGGGGCTGCACTCTTGATTGGCTGGAGCTGGGCACTGGGAGCAGGGGCCTCGAATCCCAGGAGTGGGCTTGGGTGCAATTCTGGGTGTTGGCAGGAGCTGCTGGCCCTGCTGAAGTGTGTGGAGGCTGAGATCGCAAACTATGAGGCCTGCCTCAAGGAGGAAGTGGAGAAGAGGAAGAAGTTCAAGGTGGGTGAGCAGAGGTCACTCGAGAGGCCTCTCTGGGTCGGGCGCAGACCGAGCACCTCAGCCCCTGCGTCCTCCCCCACAGATCGATGACCAGAGACGGACCCACAACTATGACGAGTTCATCTGCACCTTCATCTCCATGCTGGCTCAGGAAGGTGAGGCCCCACCCCTGCCCACCGGCCCGGAAGGGCCTCCAGGGCCCCGGCTCCCGTCTGTCCGTCCATGCTCACAGCCCCCACCGCTCACAGGCATGCTGGCCAACCTGGTGGAGCAGAACATCTCAGTGCGGCGGCGCCAGGGCGTCAGCATCGGCCGGCTCCACAAGCAGCGGAAGCCTGACCGGCGGAAACGCTCACGGCCCTACAAGGCCAAGCGCCAGTGAGGAGCTCTGCCCTGCGCACGGCCCTCCCCAGCCCCTCCCAGTATTACTGCAGAGCCCCAGGCAGAG